GCGGGGGGGTTGGAGGAGGACTGGCCCTCCGCTTCCGACCCAGCTGGAGCAGTTTTCTGGGGGCTTGTCCTTGGCTTTATTTGGCGCCAGAACAAAGATTCGGGGTAAACTTCCAGTCCTGGTGGGTGGGGGAGTGGTGTGAAGGGCCCAATCCCAGCGGTGCTAATGGGGAAAATGTCTCTCTGTGTTCCCAGGAGGATATGAAGCGTTTTCAGCTTCCTGCCCGGAGCTGTGCAGCAAACAGTCGACCCCCATGGGGCTCAGCCTTCCCCTGAGTTCTAACGTCCCTGACAGCGCCGACTCGGGGTGCAGCTCCTGCAGCACCCCACTCTACGATCAGGTCAGTCGCGGGCCGTGCCAGAGGGGAGAAGGGACAGCTGACAGGCCTGGGAGGGTAGTGCCAGTGAGAATATAGACAGTGACCTGCATTGTTGTTTAGGACGGAGGGGGTATTATTTATCCCGCGGTCAAGTGCCCTGATGAGCTGAGCCTCTAAGACTGGCACCACAGGAATGACCACTGGCCTTGCCCAGGCAAATGGGTTTCGTCCCTACTTATTTATACCCCAACAGCAGTGCTGAGAGAGTTCAGCCAGTAACTGACACTGACTTACAGCAGGGAGGTCTGTGGGTGTGGGCACCGGCATTGACTTTGAGCAAAGCTTGACAAGTGTTGGATATTTTTGGATTCCAGGGTGGCCCAGTGGAGATCCTGCCCTTTCTGTACCTGGGCAGTGCCTATCATGCTTCCCGCAAGGACATGCTGGATGCCTTGGGCATCACTGCCCTGATCAACGTCTCCGCCAACTGTCCCAACCATTTCGAGGGTCACTACCAGTACAAAAGCATCCCGGTGGAGGACAACCACAAGGCGGACATCAGCTCCTGGTTCAACGAGGCCATTGACTTCATAGGTAAATGGAGCGGATGCCTGAGACTTCTGCCTCCCTCCCCCAGCTTAGCCACTGAGCCCAAACACTGTGGCAAGGGCCTGAGTGACGTTCTTCTACGCCTTCCTCCAGACAGTACATAGCAGTCTGGTGTGGGTAACATCCCTGCAGACAGACGGGTTTGATGTCCCACTTTGCAAACGAGCAAGCCTGAGGCTTAGAAAGTTGAATTGATCTGCCCAGCATCCGTTTGGTTAGTGGATGGCCAGGCTAGGTTTAACCCTGTGCCTCGCAGAGTGGCTTCGTTGCCTCCACCAACAGTGTCTTGGTGATGCACAAGTCGATGTTAAGCATCTCTGCACAGGACACGCATGATGTTTCTTACACACCCGGTGCCTGGGGCCAGGGCCGCGCTCGCGAGCTCTCGGGTAACCAGCCCCCCTTTGTTTTGCAGACTCCATCAAGAACGCCGGAGGGAGGGTGTTTGTCCACTGCCAGGCGGGCATTTCCCGCTCGGCCACCATCTGCCTCGCGTACCTCATGCGGACTAACCGGGTCAAGCTGGACGAGGCCTTTGAGTTTGTGAAGCAGCGGAGAAGCATCATCTCCCCCAACTTCAGCTTCATGGGCCAGCTGCTGCAGTTTGAGTCCCAGGTCCTGGCCCCCCACTGCTCGGCAGAGGCGGGGAGCCCCGCCATGTCCGTGCTGGACCGGGGCGCCTCCACCACCACCGTCTTCAACTTCCCCGTCTCCATCCCGGTCCACTCCACGAACAGTGCGCTGAGCTACCTTCAGAGCCCCATTACGACCTCTCCCAGCTGCTGAAAGGCCACGGGAGGCGATCTTCACCACCCACCGGGACTCCGGGCTCCCCCTTGAGAGAAAATGCAGTCACTGCAGGGAGGGGCTCCTGAGGGCTGGTCCTTACTTATTTATTAATTTCCCCCGAGTTCCACTGGGCTCCCAAGCAGCCACAGTGATGGCTGAGCATCGAGGCGCTCGCTGGACTCGGCACATTCGGGACCAACGTCGAGTGGGTACCTCGCGTCCCCCTGACAAAGTGGGGCAGAAGGGAGAGGACTCCGCGTGCGAGCCGATTCTTTTCGCTTGCCCCCGTTTTTCTGTACACACTTCATGCTTGACATACGTACCAGTGTTACCATTCCCGACGACACATGCATACGCGAATATACCTTATTTATTTTTGTGCGGGCGGCCCGCCTTCACAAAGGTCAGTGTCGCCTCCTAGAAGAACCAAATACCTCAGTTTTTGTGTTGAGTACTGTCACGTCCTGTAAATACAGCCTGAGCAGGTTTGTTCTCGGCACTGGCGGAGGGAGGTGCCGGTGTTGCTGTTTTCAGTTGCCAACAGTTGTCTGTTTGCTGATTATTTATGACCTGAAATAATATATTTCTTCTTCTGAGAAGACATTTTGTTACATAAGGATGACTTTTTTTTATACAACAGAATAAATTATGGCATTTCTATTGAACTCTCAGATGCTTGCTTTCTTGGGCAGCCCCCGATCCCTAGTGAAGAGATAGGGGTGCAGCAGCAGCGAGGGCCTCCGGAATGCACGTTAGGATCTGATGCCACACCCCTCGGTGGCCTCAGTCCCACGAGATACAGGAGTTGTCAGGTGGGTAGAGAAGTGGGATCGATCAGGGAAAACCAGGTGCTGTAGCTGATTTGTGTTAACCTTGGGTTCCAGTGTCTCTCCATAGATCCCCTACCGTGCCACCCAGGGGGCCTGTGTCCCCAGAGCCAGCGCTAAAAAGAGATGGGTTGCTTTCTCATTTACTACCTTCTCCGAGGTAATATGCCAGACCTCCCTTCTCAGAGCTGTGCTGGTTATGAGGGTGATAGTTCTCCAAACACTTCACATAAATAAATGTGTTCCTACTACATGCAAGGCAGCCTGTGCTCCCTGCAAAACAAAGCAGCCAATCCTTTACAAAGACGCTGAGACCCAGCCCAGCGAAGGGGCGGGAGTCAGGGAACTGGGCCTGCCTCTGTTTTGTTTTCTAAGTCCATGTGTTTTGCAGTTACCTCTCTCACGTGCTCTCCTTTTGCCTTTGAAAAGACCTTTATTGTGAAAATAATACCTCAGATGGTTACAAACCCAAGCACTGTAAGCAAATTCAACATAAACAAAGGACCTGAAGTCCCCTCCCCTCCCCCACCCCCCTTCACCTGCCCATCATGAAGGCTTTGGAGCAGCGGTTCTCAACCTGTGGGTCGCGACCATCGGAAAACACATATAGCATATCAGATACTTACATTACGACTCATAACTAGCAAAATTACAGTTATGAAGCCGCAACAAAAATAATTTTATGGCTGGGGGTCACCACAACATGAGGAACTGTATGAAAGGGTCGCGGCATCAGGAAGGTTGAGAACCACTGCTTTGGAGCCTATCCACCGGGAGCCCCAGCCTGGGTACAGAGGATGTTCGGCGGCTGCCTCCAGGTCACTTGCTGCTCTGATTTCATAATTTTGCCGAAGAAGCCAGGCTATTAAATCCAACGTGCTCTAGGGCAACATTCTGGATTTTCACTCTCTCTTGCCAAACAGGCTAAAACAGAAGGTGTAATCAACCACTAACCCATGGTCCCGTCTGTAATGTTGAATTAAATAGCAGCGAGCCCCCTGGCTCACTGACCCCTAAGCTCCTGCCCCCACCACTTGTTTCTGGACCAAGAGTTGTAGGAAACGGAAGGAAACATCTGCCTCGACTTGTCCAGTAGCCCCCAGGGCAGTGGTTCGGGTGCAGCCCACCGGGACCTTTCCCCATCAGCTTACCACCTGCCACCCGAGTCCCAGGGCCTGAGAGAGCCCTGTGTTCTCTGAAGTTCTAAGAACTTACTCTGGGCGGCAGGCTCATTTCCTCGGCTGGGCTTCCGATTTCAAGTGTGTTCACGCCTTTCAAAACAAACCTTACCAGTGTTGTTATCAAGCTCTAGACATTTACTATTGCCAATCTGTCCCTTCGTGGAAATATACCAGCGGCTCCGAGTCTGTGGCAGATGCCATGGCTGACTTCCCCGTGGGCTCGGGCCATCACTTTTTGCTTGGCAGGCGCTGGTTAGACCCAAATTAATCTCCACTGTGATCCATGCAGTGGAAAAATACAGCGGCTGCCTCAGGGAGCCTCCAGCGAAAGCAGTTCCCTCACTCCTCCCAGCACAAGCCACTCACCTCCCACCACCCAGGAGAGCGGGGTGAAAGCCCCTTTCCCGCTATATCTGATTCCGGGTCTTCAGGCTTTTCTTAGGGGGAAAATGTACCTCAGTGGAGGGGAAAAAAGACGCTTATATTGTTAAAACGTTTGCTTCTCAATGGAAGATTGCAATAGAGACAACTCAATCATTTAATACTGATCATGTGATAACAGCTGTCGATTTTAGAGCTGGTGCTGTGTGCCCACCTGACTGCTTTGCACACCTCTCCATTAAACCTTTCACAGCAGCACCCACCGTACAGAGGAGGAAGCTGGGGCTCAGAGAGGGGGAGGACAGCCCTTGAATTCTAGCTCAAGGTCGTACAGCAAGTACAGGGTATTGCAGAGATTGGAACGTGGGTCTGTGAGAAGACTGGGGAACCACGTCCTAGTTCAGTCCAGAAGACAGCTTAAGGGAGAGGGGAAAGGTGAGCTTTGTAGCCAACCAGACATCACTCTGGTCTTCACGTGTAACTTGTGGTGGGACATCTATTTATGCGTTTGGGCCTCAGTTTTCTCATCTGTAAAATGAAGATAATAAAGCCAGCTCCCTCGGAGAAGGAGGGAGGAGGGGGGAGGAGGAGGAGGAGGAGGAGAAGGAGAAGGCCTCATGAATGTAAGTCTGTGCCAAGGAGTGGACCCTGGAGAAACACCTAGATCAGGGGTGGGCAACCTTTTTGTGAGTGCGTGCCAAAACCAGCAAAATCTCTGACTCAAAATTCTTCTGCGTGCCAACCCTAATTTTTTGAGAACATGTTACGCCTACTTGATATCTCTTAAGGTGTACGTATGTGAAGAACCTTGAAGAAATAATAAAATTCATTCGAGCAACAAAAACACAGTATATGATGATGAAAAATACATGTATTTTTTAATGTATACATGTTATGTAAAATTATTTATTTATCTAAGATGCACCTACACTGAATTTATCTGAAAAATAAAAAAGTCGATATTAAGAAAAAAGTGGTAAATGGAAGATTATAAGAGAGGGTTTTGCGTGCCAGCAGAAGTTACTGACGTGCCATGTTTGGCACGCGTGCCAGGGGTTGCCCACCGGTGACCTAGATCCTTTCCCAGCTCCTAGCGACCTGCTGCCACCGCGGGTCTCTGTTTTCCTCCCCATAAAATGACCAGGATGCCCTGGATCTAATAGGTAAAGCTCCTCTCAGCCCTCAAATTCTAGGCCATGGAAAATGCATCAATGCAAAATGCTTTTCTGTGGTTTCCAGGCGCCCATTATCCCATTAGGATAATTCCAACCCCAAACGCCTCCACAGCACCCTCCCCTTTCCTTGGAATTTTGCAAATCAGGGGCTAATTTGCCTTGAACTTGCAGCCTCCGGCGTCCATTTCCCTCCCGGCCGCCCCCGCC